TTTTATTGCTGCCATATATGGTCTACACTCCTACACTACATGATGAGCAGTGGGCATTTTGTGTGAAAAACCACAACCCCGTCACAAATATATGTATTTCTCATTGTTACGGGGTTGTTAACTTGTGACAGGGTTGAGTTATTTGCTTAATTTATTAATAACTGTAATTAAAAAATAGTCATGGTTTCAGTAAATATACTGTATATACTCCAAAATCATGACAACTCATATTTTTGTTTTAAATAGAATTGTTGATGTAATATGTCCACTTAAAAGTTGACAAGCATCATACATCAGAAACTGCACCCACATTTGCAGCAAGAAGACAATGTTGGCCATGCAGATATGTTGACCCCAAAACAAGCGGACAATATGAGAGAGAAACAAAACCAAACATTTTAATTTAAGGCAATGTATCCCTTCAAATGTGTTACAGTCTTCAACCGTCACACCTTGTCACATTAATAGTTTTAGAAAAATATAGGGAAGACAATTAAGAACAAAAGTATTTCTTGCTGATTACCACCTGGCATGTTAAGGGCTAAAACAATAAAATTGTGGTTTTAGCTCAAATTTTAAATGAAAAATAGATATATTTTTTTTACAAAAATAGAGATAGATGACACACAATTTGTGTATTTTTAGCTTCAGTCCTATAAAAATGCGAAAATGATGATAAATGTTACATTTGTTATCATTAAATTGTTATCAGGGGCACATGAACAGTAGGTACCTGTTTGTTTTATAACAATTTCTGTGTAAAATCCTTTTTAAACCAATCCCATTTTATCCGTAACGGGGTTGAGAAAAAAAGGTGTCTAAAGCTGAAGAAAACTGAAAATAATAAAAGGTCTTTAATGCCTGAGGTGGGAAAATATTATGTTTGGAAGTTTGATATGTGCCTAATGATGTGGGGTATTTAGAAGTTGAATCACATGTAGTTGAAAAACATATTCCAAGTTGAAATGTTACAGAATCCCAGGAATGACCCATTTATCATTACACACACACACACACACACACACACATATATATATATATATAATTTTTTATTTAAAAAACGCATTAAATTCGTCGAAACTTTGAGATGACAGCATTGATTTATGATAGATAGATAGCCCTAGATATACCAGAGGGCTTCCTTCTTACATCATTTAAATGGACGTGGCGTGTAATGTTAGAAAACACCAGTAAACCAAAAGGCTGGGTTCTCAAGTTTATGTAGGCTATTATTTTTACACAGTATATACATTTTATAATGTTTCAGTGACAACAAAAGTTAGAAAACTGCACCACTCGCGAACAGAAATCGAGCTGACCTGAGCTTCAAATGTAACAAATACTTTAATTTAAGAAAAGCGTTTCGGTCTACTTATAAGGATATTATTATAATAAAGAGGTTTCTAACTCCAGGGATTGTGTCGCGACCGTCGTCTGGTATTTAGAAATACGAAATGAAGACGCCAAAAATGGTCGCTAGAGGTTCTATGTGGGGTTTTCTCGGGTTTATCGTCCAATCACTTGCGTTAGAAATAGTTTCTGTAGGTTCATTTCTTATTTTATTAAATTATATATTTTTCATCGTTCACATTTATGAAACTACGGTACTTCAGTCCTGTTTCTTTTATGCTTATAGTAATCGATATTCGCTGACACAGCCATGACCATCCATTTGACTGGATTTCTGATTAGTGCAAAAAGTTCTCTAAATTACCTGGGAATGTTCTAGCACTCTATGGATCGATATTTTCATCCGTTTAGGAACATTCTGCTGTGTAATAGGCGGAACTCTGCTGGCGTTCTCCATCTCTGAGTCTGAACGCTTCAGCGGCCGCGCGACGTGATTGGCTGCTGCGCTCGTTTCATGTTCTGGAGGTTCTGGACTGTTCTCAGGAAGAGTCTTAAAGCGCATTACAGCACACTTCTGCGTTCTGCTGCAGACATCGCGCGCGTCTCGAGCTGCGACACCACAGGTGATTGACAGACTCAGCGTTTATGGTGAGCATTATGATGAATAGTGTTATTATGCGTTTAAAGTTAGAGTTTTTTTTTTTTTTTAATTATAAAAACTATTGCACAGTTGCTAATATTAGAATAGACGTACCAATATGCGTTGAGTTTGATGCTGTTCAGGTTTGATTTTTTAGCAACTTAACGTTACAGTTTACTCAACAGTCAAAATACTGTCATAATTTATTCATCCTCATGTTGCCCCTAAGCTATGACTTTCTTTTTTGTCGTAAATCATAAAGTGATGTTAGGCGGAATGTTAGGGAATGACAAACGCTGTCATTCCGCTAACATTTCCAACACGAGTGAGGAAATTACAAAACTGTCAGATTTTAGTAGCGCTAGCTAAATGCTATTTTAATATTTTTAACTGCATTCGATCTGCATTCTGAACCAGCGATAATATGGGATGTTCTAGAACGTTAATAATTAATTAACGTTAATGCCATTTGAGTGTTGTGCGCGTTCTTGATTAAGGTTATCGAATGTTCTAGCAGCAGATGATTCCAGAATAAGACACTCCCAGTTTTTCCAATTCAGGAATGCTTACGGAAATCACAAATGTTGCATAATAGTTTGGAGCAAACGATAGGAAACTGAACCTCAACTTTCCCTCAGAGGCAGTCAATTATCTTAAAGGGATAGTTCACTCAAAA